ACAGGTATCCCCCGTTACACAATCACAGGTAACCCCTCGTTACTAAACTCATAGGTATCCCCAGTTATGAAAAGAATCAATCACAGTAATGTCTCATCTCCTCTGTGGACAGTCCGTCTTCATGTGGCTGGGCTGACCACACTGAAAACAAACTCCATAATTAGGTCTATCAAGAGGACATTTTGCCTTACGGAGTCCTGACTGCTTACAATGATAACACACCACACTCGTCCTAGAGGACTCTAAAGACACACCAACAATAGGAGTAACACATGTCGTCCGCTACTCTTGAGAAGACAATGAAGCATCTCTATGCCTCCTCTTGCCCTGGCTCTCGGAAGAAGTATCCGCACTCATACCTTATTCCTAAGAACCCACAATACCACTCATTTCTTGCCAATTTTTGGCTTTTGTCTTTGCCACCAGTGCTCTCGTAACCGCCTCCGAATAACTCTTTAACCCCAAAAGTGTTACCCTTAGCCTAATGGAATGATTTAGGCCATACACAAACCGCCACGTCTTCTCCCCCTCGTTCCCTAACACATCTAAAATGAAACATGAAAGAAAAGTAACCTTATTCTCATACTCCATCACTGACATGTCACATTGCTTGAGATCGTCAAACTGCATTCTCAATTCCCGTCTCTTAGTCTGTGGGAAATACTTATCAAAGAAAAGACTCTTAAAAATATCCCAACTCATACTGCCGACATCATGAGCACTAGTCATGGTTTTCCACCATACTGCCACATCGTTAACAAACTTATACGTGGCTAAAGTGACTTTTAACCGATAATTGGGTATGGCTATTGCCCTTAAATACTTTTCAACTTGTTCTAACCAATCGTCCGCAACCAACGGGTTTGGACCTCCCTCAAATGTTACTTTTATGAATTTATCAAACTGAATAAAGTACCAAAGATTCCACTCCATCTCCATCTCCTGTGATTGAATAGCCGGTTGTGGTACCATTTAAGGAGCTGTGGTACGCACTAAATCTTAAAAAGTTGAGGCTACAATCCTCGTTTATAGAATATTATCCGCCGGTACTTGGGGATTATCATCCACCTATCTATCTCGGCCCTGTCCTAGTGAGACCTTATTCGGATGGGATGGCCCTTCAACTGCTCACTCTCCAACTCCATTCGAATCCATCTCTTCGCGTAGTCTTTAAGCGTAGTACTATAAAAGTAATTATAAAATCAAAACAAGGATACATGAAATTACTTAATCCACGCGCTATGGTACTCACAGTATCCATTTGATAAGAATTAAAACATTTAGAAACATAGGAATAATCAAGCTCCTCACATATGTGGGTCAGAACCCATAACCCAACACACAACATTGCAACAAACACTCAAACCCATCAATAACAAAACAAACTAGTCATACATACATCTATTCCCTAGTGGATGAACCACCACAACGTTAACCAAAATGTCAACTACGTCCCACAATAGGATCATAACTATCGTGCTCAAATAGACGTCATCACATCATATAATACATGCTTTAATAAATAGTAAACACTTGACAATTAAACACGTAGTCAATTGAGCATGCTTAGGAAATCAAAAATTTGATAATCATACAACTAATTGCACTTACTTATAGCATTTAACAGCTAAGCATGCTCTCACATCCAATAAGCAGCAACTCAATAAACAGCAAACACGTAAGCATTTAACAATCATGGCCATGAACTACACATACTAGCATCTAAACATATACACATCTAGCAGTTAAGCATGCTTTAAACGAGATTAATCATTCCATTAATCACATAGTTAATTACACATATACATGTAACGTTCTACAGTTTAACATGGTTTTACATTCATTAAATAATAAACTTAATAATAGTAAACACATCACCATATAACATGCTCGCATTCAATTATTAATTCATTAATTCCAAAGTCAACTAACATATAAGCACATAACAATAAATAATGATTTTGAACTAAACAAGTAATAGCCATATAAGTACACAATGCCATCTAACCTAACTTTAACACAACCTCGGTCAACCCTACCTGTCGTCCCTAGGTTTTTGAACCTAAAGCTCTGATACCAAATTTGTAACGACACAAACCCAGGGTCCAGATCATTATCTGGGTCTTTAACCAAACCCAAGGTCAACTAAGGGCATAACGGTCATTTCGCATTAAATTAATACTTTAAGGCCTAATAAGGGAAAAATAATCCTTTAACACACACACACACACACACACACACACACACGCACGCACACACATAATGGTTTCAAAACCCAAAAAGGTAAAACAGTCCTTTACTAAGGTCCTCTAATGATTAGGATAAAATTTGAGGGTAGTACGATCATTCCTTTGGCTAAAATATAGTTATTGTGTTTTACTAGATCATATGGTGTGTAATGATATCCTTAAGTGAGTGGAAGAGGGCAAAAAGGGAAAATAAATCACAACAGTAAAATAAAAAGAACCGGTCGACGTCTAACACTTACACGTCGACTGGTTTGAGTGAATTGGTCGACGTGAACCCTTTTATGTCACCTGGTTTGTGCCATGTATTGTGGAAAAGCCTACTGTCCAAAATTTAGACATATCGGTCGATGTGTGGGTACTTACACGTCGACCGAAACTTTCCAGGTTTTGAATTTTTTTCTTTTTTCATCCATAATTTGATCAACCAATTTTGTACACAACTATCCCACAATACAACCACTAAACACCACTGAAATACCACTAACCAGAACAAAACACCATTGAACGTTTATGTGTGTGTGTATATATATATGCATGAAAACGTTCCCAATAATTATTTAATTCATATATACTCAAACTAAATTAATATAATTTTAGGATAATCCACAAACACGTTCTATTAATTACATTCCCAAAATATACAAAATATATATATCCGAAAGGATAATCACTGCCCATATGGTGATAAATTCAAAATAATACAAGTTTGTTATAATTATTACCAAAAAAAAAAATAATACATGGATTACTAGTGATGCAAAATAATGGATTCTTCAACACCGACTATACATGTGGAGGAACATCGTCGAGTACCTCCTTGCCGTGACTTGAAAAATAATCAAGGAAGGGGTAAGCATGGAGGTTTAGTAGGAAGTGCCTAAAACACACTCCTTAATGACCCCGTGAATCCAAACAAAGAATGGCGTATAGAGACAGGGGTTGTGTTTATTTTGGGAAAACTATACCATCATGCCTTTCACATACAATCCACATATAATAAGTGCAATGCTATGCAAGCCTATACAATGAGATATCACTCCCTATTTCCAAAACTATTTTTCCAAAACAGTTTCCTTTCCTTTCCAAGAAATCAAATTCTCCTTTTTCGTTGCCCATACCAATGCATGAATGCCACATACACTTCAATGCCATGAAAACTCATACATTTATACCACAATCATTCTTACATGCTTTATTTATCAAGTTTTACCACAATCCTCATGTTATCAACCACACAACCATAACATGTTAACATGTAGAGTATAATTCAAATATGCAAGAAACTAGCATAATTGCCACATAAGAATACCCAACATACTTTTCATAGAAAAACTCCAACACCCATAAAAAAATTCATTATTTTAGCATGTTATACTCACAACATAAGAGATAATTCACTAAAATCAAAGGAAATGCGGTTAATAAACCCCAACCGCAACAAATTGAGCCAAAGCTCCCAGAAGCCCCAAATTCTCGAAATCCGAAGGTGCTCCGAATGAAGATTGGCTCTGATCAACGTGAAGCTCTCATGGAGCTCGTAAACTTTGCCTCCAATGGCAAAGTCCAAATCTCAAGATAAATTGAAGAAATTAAGCTTTGAACTTGGAAGTTTTAGAAAGAGAAAGAGCCTTTGTAGAGAGAGAATTAAAGCCATGAACAAAAGAAGATTCTATCCAAAAATGATATGTGTGGTGGTATATAAGTCGATCTTGGCCCAAGCGGGTCCCACGTGTCACAAAACATCTCTTTTGCCTCCATTATATATATATAATACACACATAATCACGTAGCCACATAAATATGCATCAATTAATGGTGTACGAAATGTAACAGACTCGAAAAATAATCTCATGCATGATAGAACCAGTTGCGAGTCCTACCCAGGACCTCTCGGCTCGAAAAACTGAAAAATATCGAAATGGCGAACAATGTATTTTTAAGAATTTTGAATTCGAAGAAATGCCCCAACAAACTCTCGGACTCACCCAGTGCATTTCACGGTGTTCAACACGCAAAACGAGACAATAAATAAATAAATTCAAAAAAATCAAAAAATACCCGAAAAATAGAAAATAAGAAAAATGAGAAATATTACACGTCATCAAGGCGGGCAGTAATTCTCCTCCAATAATGCCATGCGTCCCACGTTCTGATCTACTTGTTTGCCTTCATCTTTTACTTTATACCTGAGTAGATATGTGTATTTATATAAGCCACGTATTGTAGCATATCTTCACATCTGGCTTTCCTTTTGCAATTGCCACGTGTGCTCTTCCCCAGTTTAGGATTATATAAATATCTGCAAAGGTAACTCCCTGGTTGTTCCCATGACCAACTCTCTTCCTAAATTTTAGAAACTAACCTAATCCCTTCTTCTCAACAAGTGATTGACTCATTCAAAAGGATTTCAAATTCGTGTAACTCAATTATGCCAATTACATCCTTCATTATAGGTAATAGATATATTACCAATTTTGTAACAGAACTAATTGGCCAGCCGTCATCACCTTAACTTACCACTTGTAGTATCTAACCTGTACACGTGTTGCTTTCTTGCTTGTACACATGTTGGGATTCTGCTCATCTTCTGCTTTTGCCATATGTCAACCGGAGATTGGACCATGTACTGGCCCATGTGTCATCTTTTTATTGCTCCACATTAGTGCTGAAGTGGCCGCCACTTGGGCTGCCAATTTTGTCGGTCAACAATAACCCAATAACAGAATTTCACAAGAACAATAACAACTTCAGTCATAGTCAACTGAAACTATACATCCATATGATGGACTTTAAGATCCAAAGCTGTTTTGACATGACATGTAAAGATTCCTTCTCCTTGAAAACTAAAGACAAGCAACCCATACACCAGGGAAAAATAAATAAATAAAATTGCTACTGTGTACAAGAGAAGCCAGCAGGCAATCAATAGATATACAAGTGTAACATATAATGTTTACTAAAAGAAACATCATTACTGAGATGACTGGCATTTAGCGCATCAATTAGTTTCCCGCATCAAAGAGAGCAGCAGTAAAAGCCAACACCATCATCAGGATGCTAACACCATCAGCAAAGTTCAGCAAAGGCCAACGCCATCATTAGCAGTAAGCTCAGACAATTCAGCAAAGGCAAGCAGCAAGTAACATCTAGTAGGCCAGAACTCATCAGGAAAAACTCAACTAAGGCAAGAGCATCAGGCAAACCTCATCACAGGCAACACTAGTAGCTACCAAAAAAAAAAAGGAAAAGAAAAAAATTGTATCAGCCTTCCAGCACATTTCTTACTTTGCTTGAACAATGTTAGCCATTAAATTAATTACCGAAAAAAAAAAAAAAAAAAAAATGTTAGCCACTAAACTGGGGGGACCACTCAGCAAGTTAACATCCAGTAGTAGGCCAGAAGTGTAGGGTGTTGACCTTGTCTGATGTTTATTAAATTGATTGTAAATCAAGTCAACACAAAAACAACAGATGAAATAATAGGTCTTCAATTGATCATTCAGCAAGTGAAGTGTATTATTTGATTCTAATAGAATTTCAATCTGTTTTCAGTGGCAAGTAAATGTCATGGGTGTGCTGGAAGCAATACAAAAGACCAAGGAAATGACATAAAGATCTAAAAGGGCAATGCCAGGCAATAACATTCAACATTAGCAACAACTGTAGTGAGATTTCTCTTTAATTGATAACTAGGGCATCTTCAACTCAAATAATAACTGAAAATTTTCTAAATGTGCACACTCAACAATCAATACCTCTCCATTTATTACATTACAACATTATGCTTAACAAAGTTCCATTATTTTTTTTCTTGTTTTCTTCTGCTCCATTCAAAGGCACCAGAGCTCCCCTAATAACCACTTTCAAAATCAAATTTTGACCATTTTCTTCGACCACAACTAGAATCAATAAATGCAACGGAATACAAGACTTGTGATGCTATAAGTGATGCAAACAATAAAATGGATGAAGCTGTCTGAGTTTTTTTTTTTTTTTTAGAGAATGAATTCCTACAGAAATTTGAGTAACTATCCTTAATGACAGAGAAATTATGATGATTAAGATTCTATTATTTATTGAAATGATGCAAATTATGAGATGCATGAAGCAATTTCATTAAGAGAATGAATTTCTAATAATTTTGTGCAATTACCCTTGGGTCAGAATTTAGAAGAACCATAAAATCAATCATAGAATTCAGTTTGCTTTGTGTAGACAATGAAATCATATTTAGAGCATCCATGGGCATTTCAATGGATGTTGAAGCAACATATTCTATGGTAAAACTCTGATTCTAAATCAAATCACAAAAAATAAAAATAAAAATAAAAAACATTGAAATTACAAACGACACAGTAAAAGTATTATTATTATGAGAATACCAGTATTTAAGTGACTGAATCCTATGGCATTCCTGTCATCCTCATAATCAGCTTCAAGGTGCATCATCCTCGTCATCCTCATTAACCTCCACATAATTTGAAGGGTAAATATGGATCTTAAGTCCATCATATCCGTCTTCTTTTTGCAGTTCTTTAATTTGCAAGGCAGAGCGTGCTGCTGAGCAACTACAGTACCAGAGCCGAATCGTCTCCAATGTAAAAACATAAGCTAAACCAGATGGGATCTCCTTGAGTTGTTTACAATCATCTAATACCAACGTCTGAAGGACGGGAAAGTGACTACTATAAGCATTCCATTGCTTGATGTCCAAACGTTGAAACCTCAAGAATTTGAGTTTATGAAACAGCCCATCACTTGTGTCCCACCTTGGTCCCTCAAAGGCCTTGTATGATAATTTAAGAACCTCAAGGTTAGGCAACTTTCCAAGGGTCGACATTTCCTCCCAAGATAGACAGAAGTTTGACAAAGTTAAGCTTTCGAGATTTGGAGGAAACTGATCTAGATGGGGAAATCTTGCAAGATATCCTTTGGATTCACCGTAAGTTATATTAAGTTTTTCAAGGTGAACTAAAAACTCCAATTTAGGAAAGGTATTGTTCCCACCCAATGACTCTGTAAAACAACATGTTAGTTTCTTGAGATTCGGAATCAATCGCAAGAATTGCACATCTACACCACGAAGATCTAATTTGCCCACAGTCTGAAGGTCATCCAACATGAAGGGATCATCATCATTAGGTACATGAGGGATTTCAATAAACCGCTTTGCATACAAATGCCTCAACTTCACCATCTTCCAGATATCATGTGAGAAAGATACAAAACCTATTGGTCCTCCTTCAATAATAAAGGTTTCTAGCTTGCAGAGGTTGGATATTGATGGGCAAAAAGATTCTTTGTCAATATGAATTGATAAATACCTCAAATGAACTAGCAGTTGTAGTCCTTCAGGAATGGAGGAAATTTTGACGGATGATATATTTAATACCCTAAGAAGTTTGAAGGCTCTAAAAAAGGATTCTAGATAAAATATAGATAACTCTGTAGTTGAAGAGAAAGAGCGAACCTCTGGATCACCATGCTTTGAATGACCGCATCCATTAAAGAGAGTAGCAATGGTAAAAAAATCAATGCGAGTACTGATGCAAATGCGACGCTGCTTTGTAGCCATAGGATTTGAGGAAGAAGAAAATGTTGGTTCATACCTCGAAACTCGCATGAAAAAATTCTCTTCTTGACCTTTTCTCAAACATAAATCACGCAACAGATCATGGACACGACATGCTTTAATTCTACCATTACTCCTTTTCTTGGAAACAATCAGTAAACTTCTATCGATTAGATCCATCATGTAATCCTCCGCGACTTCTTCTACACTTTTTTGTTGATTTCGCACTATAAATCCTTCAGCGATCCATAACCGGATCAACTTCCAAACAGGAATTTCATAGTCTTCAGGGAATGCTCCAAAATAGAGGAAACAAGGCTTCAAGTAATAAGGCAAGTGGTCGTAACTCAATGCTAGTGTGTTCATGCATTGTTCCACGAATTGCTCTTGTTCACTAACAATGCATGAACTTACATTTCCAGCAACATGGCTCCACCAATCTTGTGTCTTGCCTTTCTTTGCGAGAAGTCCAGCTATTACAACAATTGCAAGTGGTAGTCCTTGACATTTTTTGGCAATTTGCTTTCCAATTTCGATCAACTCCCAAGGGCAACAACCTCCCTGAAATACCTTCTGCCTCAATAAATCCCAACTTTCATTTGAATTTAGAAACCGCAAATAGTGAGGATTAGCAGGCAAAGCTAAAGCCACATCTCCATTCCGACTAGTGAATATAATTCTGCTTCCATTTTTGTCATTTGGAAAATATCTTTTGATATCATTCCAGGCCGTGATCTCCCATATATCATCCATGACGACCAGATACTTCTTACCTTTCAGGCTTTTGTACAATCCTTCACCTAACTCTTCGTCACTCATTTTTTCAATTTTACCTTTAAGCTGGATATCTGCAGAACTCAAAATGCTAAGTAACAAATCTCTCCTCCAGTATACTTGAGATACATGGGTCCATGCTCGAATATGAAACTGATATTCAATGAGAGGATTGTTGTACACCTTCATGGCTAGAGTGGTCTTACCGAGTCCAGGCATTCCGATGATCGGTATAATCTTTAGCTGCGTATCATGTTGTCTAATAAGCAGCTCCATTATTGTTTCCATTTCATCATCAAAACCCACTACTAATTCTTGGTTGAGTACGACTTCCTTGAGTGTGAAGTTGGTGGGTATTGATGAGTACGACTTTTCGACTCGCAACACTCTGATGCCATACATGCTGTTCTCATAAATCTTCATCACCTCTCTCTTGATAGACTTTATCTCTTCCGTGACAATGCCAAACGATTTATGGATTTCATCACCCATAACAGATTCAAGCCATGACAGTCTCAAACCCTTTTGATAAATCTTCATCACTTCTGTCTTGACAGAATTAGTCTCTTCTATGACACAGCCAAAGCTATTAGAAATTTTCTCAGCCAGGTCCACCAACTTTGTGGACAAATTGAGGAGGTTAACAAGGATTTCACAAGTCATTTGAGAATTTATCCATGGGACACTCAATCCCTTCTCATAAATCTTCATCACCTCTGTATTTATATGCTTGATCTCTTCTGTGATGCTGCGAAAGCTACGTGGACCAATTTTCTCAGCCAAGTCAACCATCTCTTCATACGTACTCAACAAGTGATAATAGTCTTCAGCAAACCAAAACAGAGGCCAATCACTTGCGTCTTCATTGTCGTGAAACCAAATTTTTTTAGCAAGGTTCAAAAAGACTCCAGACAATTCATAGAGGCGATCTACCTCACGAGGTTCCTTAGCGTACACTTGATAGAGGAAAACTTCACAACAAACGTTTGCTCTGGACAATCGAATAGCGATATCATCAATTTTCTCACCGTAGGTCGAAAAATTGAAACCCTGTCCCTTTCCAGATCGCTTTTCATGAATGTCCATCGCCTCTTCAATGATAGACTTGATCTGTTTTATGATACTGCCAAAGCCATTATGAATTTCCTTGCTGGACGAATTAAGAAGGTCATCAAATTCTCCAATTTTTTGTATGGACAAAGGAATAAGGCTAGCAATTTTATTACACAAACTATACTTAAACATCAAATTATATCTCACATCTCTTATGATACTGCCAAAGCCATCGAGAATTTCCATACTGGGCGTATTAAGGATGTGATCAACTTCACAATTTTTTTCTCCGGACAATCGTTGACCAATGACCTTGTTGTGGGCTTTAGCTTTACCAGACACGTTAGTCTCAAGCCATCCTAGACTCGATCCATAGATAATAATATTCATCGCCTCTTTTACGATTGGCTTGATCTCTTCTGTGACACCACGAAAGCGATCACGAATTTTGTCAGCCATGTGATCACAAAGCCATGAGAGAATTCCCATTACCTCTATCTTGCATTTCTTTAGAGAACCAGTATCTTCTATAATATTTCTTAAGCTCATAGAGATATTATAAGCCTTGTACACAACATTCTTGGATGAAGTACTGATGAGGAGATCAAAATCATAAGCCGTGCTTCTTCCATCTCTCAGTGGCAAGACGGCAGCTTTGAGTAGGAACCAGTCGATGATATCTTCTGTCTTGTAACTTAAGTCTCTAATCCTCACCACAAGCCTCTTCAGCTCTTCATGTTCATCTCGTTTCTCCTCCGAATCTTTCAGAAACTTTCGCAGAAAATGCATCTCCGTGTAAACCCATTCGATTTGTTCCCTCTCAATGGCTACTTTCTCCTGATCATAAGCCTCCAGGATCAATTCCTTGTCAGAGTTTATTAACTGCATCAAGTTCTCCAATAGAAAATCTACAGCAGAGTCTGCCATTTATTCTCTCTTTTTCTTCTCTCTGAAGCTATGCCCAGTGGTTTTAGCATAAGCTGATGGTAATTGAAGTCAACTCTTGAGTCATGAAGGTGGAACAGAGCTTCCAATGTGTGACAATTCCAACAAATGGTTAAGCTCTCAACCCATAAGGTCATAATTAGCAGAAGCTTCAAATTCAACTGCAAATAATGGAACAGACCATCATCCAAGTGTTTTCATGATATGTTGACAAAAAACTATTTAAACCCTTGATCAGTTGAATCACTAGCACCTAGCTACAACTTGCATTATTAAAAATTGAGACCAAAAATGTTGAGAAATTTCAGACGATGGAGAGAGGGAAGAGAGACCTAGCCTTGTAACTGTTCGTAGGAGTACTCTTGGCGGAGGGGTCTATGTTGATGCTGTGTTTAAGGGTTTTCTTCTTGTTACTTTACAATTTAACGGCTACGATTAAATTCAGATCATACATGGGATGCCTGCTTCTCTTTGAACCTCTACAACAATGGTTACAATGTGAACACTGAGTAGTTTCATATCTGAATATAAGGGCTCCACACCATGTGAAAGCCTTTAATTTTGTCAAAAGTGAAAGGGAATAATTCTTTTTTTCTTTGTCAAATTTCATCATGATCATTGTTACCTTTATTTCTAATGAATAGACTACATGATAATTAGATGATATTAAATTAAACATAATATTTTGTTATCTTTATTTATCAATTGAAGTGTATATATATATATATATTGTGGAGCCCCATACATTGTTTCTAGATGGAGTTGGTTGTGCCTGGCCTAATGTTATATAACATTATCTTGAATTGAAAAGTTTTCAATCTTAGGAGAACATAAAAGAAATACTTAGAGAAAAATGAAAAGATAAGCACAATGATGCAAAAAAAGAAAATGAAATACATCAGACTAAAGATTCACATTTCTTTCTTCTTCTATTTTTTTTTCAGAAAAAGAACAAGTAGAGAAGAAATAAATAGAATCCAGAAAGATTAAAAAGCCGAATACTTCAAGGACTTCCTATGCAAGGAGCAAAAATGCCCAAAAACCGGATTTAGAAAAACCGGATTTAAAAAAAGGTAGAGAAAAACTTGTAGAAAATAAAGATGACATTCAATCATGTAATGATATTTACCTATATGGGTTGTTGCATTAAGCCTTTTTCTTTACCTTGATACAAAATCAACTCAAATAACTGGAGAGATATGAGTAATTATAAGTAGATATATTCTGTGAAACCAATTAATCAAGTATGAAAAGTACAATTGCTAACAAGTTTCAAAAAGTACACTATGTACACCTTGATTACTTATTTAGTAGAAAATTTTCATTTCACGATTAAGCATGCCATATTGTAAATACAAGGGAGATAATTTACTAAAATCAAAGGAATTGAGATTTAGAGGTTCCTACCTCAAAATCAAGCCAAAGCCTTAATTTTTCCCAAATTTTTGAAATCCCAAGGTAGTCCAATTGAAGATCAGCTCCGATCAACTTGAAGCTCTCGTCGAGCTTGTAAACTTTGCCTTCAATGACACAGTCTAAATCTAAATGAAAATTTGAGAAATCAAGCTTAAAAGTTTGGAATTATAGAGAGAGAAAAAGGTCTTTAGAAAGAGCAAGGGAGGCCACAAAAATGGAGGAAAAGAAATGCATAACTATCCATATGCCCTATTAAAATATTACTTGTTTAAAACTCAATAAAAAAAAATTGCTTACCTATTAAAATATTACTTGTTTAAAATTCAATAAACAAAATTCTAAGCAATTGCATCATCACTGGAGAAGGTGAGTGTGAACTTGCAATTTAACCAATTAAATTTAGGGTTAATTATAACGACACCTCTTAAGGTTTGCTATATTGATAGTTATATACAACTTAGTCATTTTTCGGATAAAGACACCCCCTAAGTTTACAAACTTGAACAATGACACCCCATTTTTAAAAAATGGAGCCAAACATAGCCTTAAGTGACATGAAATGTCAAATATACCCTAAGATATATTTTAATCCTCACCTAAAATGACCAAACTACCCTCTCATCTCATCTCTCTCTTTCAACGGTTCTCATCTCATCTAATTTCATCTCTCTTTCTCAACCCAGTTCCTCCTCTTCTTCCACACCCTCAAAACCCTAATCCATAAATCAAACCCAATTTTCTCTCTATCTCTCACACACATAGTATCCCTCAAACCCCCATCAAACCTCCAATCTCGATTTTTGCCTGCCGATTCCATGCCACAGTTCCTCTCATGGCCGAGCCCTCTACTGGCTGAACCGCCCTCCTTCATCGAGTGTCGTGCAGTTGGGTTTTAGATTTGTGTGATGGGTGACTATCCAGCATGTTTAGGAGAGCATTTTTAGGATGGCAGTCGGCGAGCAAGATAGAGTGCTCGGCCGGTGGAGAGCTTGACTGTGGATGGCTCAGTCGTAAAGGACTCGCGGCGGCTAGTGAGGGCTTGGCCGGTGAGGGCTCAGCAGTGATGAAGACGGTCTTGGCTGTGGGCGACGAGAAGATGGCTTCGGTTGTGGGCGACAGGCTGTTAGCACTGAACGCTGGTGGATAACTTGGCTGGATGGAATTGACAACAGTTGGCTCAGTTGACAAAACTTAAACAGCGAAATCTAAAGAAAGAGGCCCAAAACAAAGCACAAAGACAAGCAATCGCCTCAACCATCATCGTCGACGAAGCAAAGAACGGTTGAAATACCACAGCTTTGAGGATAAAGCCCTGAAAATCACTAAACACTGCACCTATCTTCATAGAGAAACAAGCATCAAAATTGCATTTAATCATCCCTCGATCAGGCAGAAACCAAGAAGTTAAAGAAAAAGACGGTCCAGCAACATTTAATTTGTGGGTTTGGGACTTCACTTCCTGAAACTCCCAAAAGCTAGCAAGAGCACATTCCACCACCTTCTCCGGCTGCCATAAAACACCCTCAAACACCAAATGAGTCCTGGCTTTCCAAATATACCATGCACAAAAGGAAATCAAGCCAAGAGCAACTGGAGGATCCGATGCCAAACCCGCCCAATGCAGCAAAAAGGCCAACCATCTACAAAGTATCGAAAGGAAGAAGAAGAAAAATCAAAACGAAGCAGAGATAGCTTTCAAACCTACATAGAATGAGAACAAAAAAACATAAAATGCACAATAGACTCCTCCTCCAATCCACACCGAGGGCACAATGGAAAAGCAACACAACCCCTCAACAACAACGCTGGACCAGTAGGTAGAGCTTGATGACAACACCGCTAAAGAAAATGTTGTACCTTAGAAAGAGTAAGGCCGTGCTAAACCGAATTCTAGCTAAAAGGTCCTTGAACAACTGGATAAGAATCATACAAAGACAGAGCAAGAGAATATACAGACCAAACGGAGAAAATACCAGTTCGCTCAGGAGCCCAGATTTGAGAGTCCGGTTTATTCCAACGACTAATATGCAACCACAAAATTTCCCGGACCACCAAAAGGGGAAAAAAGATGACGCAAAACACTCACATTCCATGTCTGGGACTACGGATGAATCAAATCTGCCATAAATTAGTAAGACACATCAAACTGCGGACAAGGGAGCTTGAAAGGTAGAGTTGGAACCAAATGATCATTCCAAATATGAATTGATTTCCCATTACCCACTAACTAGCGCAGGCCCTGACGCAAAAGAGGTTGAGAAGACCAAATACTATGCCAGCCCTAAGATGGATTAGAGCCCAAAGGAGCATCCAAAAACGAACATGAAGTAAAATATTTAGCTTTAAGAAGATCAAAAGCCAAACCATGCTATCGAACTTGGAAATTCCACGTATGTCTTGCCAAAAAAGCTAGATCATACGCCTCCAAATCCCGAAAACCAAGACCACCCCGTTGCTTCCTTCGACATAGAAAATCCCAGTGAACCCAATGAATGGAGCGAGATTTTCCTTTATTACACCACCAGAAAGAACGAATATATTGCATTATCTGAAGACACATAGTACGTGGGATCTTGAAGGATGACATAACATACGTAAGCAAAGCACTCAACACCAACTTAATAAGCACCTTTTTCCCCCCAGCAGATAAAGTGCAGGCCTTCCATGAAGACAAACGGTCTTTCACCCAAGATAATCAGAACTGAAACACATTATGCTTAGAGCAACCCACAAGAGCTGGCACACTGAGGTACCTACTATTCAACCCTTCTAGCCGCAGCCCCAAAAAATTCCCAATAGAATGGCGCAAGAAAACTGAAGTATTGTTGGAGAAAAAAATTGAGGATTTAGTAAAATTGACAACTTGTCCAGATGCCCGCTCATAATCAACCAAAATTCTTTTCACGATATGAACCTGCGATTCCACAGCCGCACAAAAGATAATAGAATCATCCGCAAAGAAAAGATGAGAGACTGACGGAGCATCCCGACAAATTTTTATGCCAGACAACAGTTGAGCTTACTATGCATGAAGAAAGGCCAGAGATAGGGCTTCAGCACAAATAATAAACATATACAGGGATAGCGGGTCACCCTGTCGCAGACCTCGAGATAGACAAAAAAAGTCCACAGACTGCCATTAATTTTCAAGAGTACGACACTGTAGAAAGACAAGCCGAAATCAACTTAATCCAATGAGAACGCAACCCCAATCTATGTAACGTTTGGAACAAAAACTGCCATTCAACCTGATCATAAGCCTCGCTCATGTCAAGCTTTAGCGCCATAAAGTTTTTTTTTTCCTTACGGTTTAAAAAAATTCTACATCGAAGACCAAAAAGGTGAGATAATGTTGGGGGACAAAGAATGATTGAATAGCTATTTGACATGACATTTTAAAGAGATACCAACACCACAAAAGAAATCCTCCAAATGTCTTACTTTAAAAAAGTAGCAACAGAAAGGTGAAACAAATATATATTTAAATGTTATAAAAACATTTAAAGAGACACCAACACCATAAAAAAAATCCTCCAAATGTCTTACGAAGTAGCAGCTGAAAGCAAAAACAGATATATATATATAAATGTTATAAAAACAAAATAGACTCTTCTTAAATTTTAAATCCTAAGAGCAACCTAATTAATAATAAAATTTCCTTGCAGTGTCCATATTAACCATAAATATATATATAAGATTTGGTTTAAGTTCAGCATAAACTTTCTCAATCATAACATTATTATTCATCGGCTATCTATCTCACTATAAATTGTATCCAAAATTTGAATCCAATATATGAAGAAAAAGGAAGGCATGGCTTTTTAGATATTTTTGTAATAAAAAATTTTCATTAACAATGTATCTCAAGAAGGTTAATTTGGGATCACTACAACTGATATTGCACAAGCACATTAACTCCACTTCACATACATAGATATACGTAAGGCTTATAAAGCAATAATAAAACTTACTGATGGATTAGAAGGGGTACATTACTGTTTTGACTTGACATCCACCATCCTCAAAACTCGTCCGCTTGCAGCATCCTTGAGTGA